CAGTAAAACGTTGAATTTAAAATTTATTTACAGAGCATGAGAGCATATGATGAAATAAAAGCGCAGCAGAAATGGTTAGTTTATTTTTTTATATTCAAGTATCATTTAATGTAAAACAATGAACAGAAATATACTAGATAAGAATACGGGGAAGATCCATATGAATCTACACTATTTGAACACAAGAGAGAGAGGATTCGCATGAAAAGGTTGTGAAGATGGTGGTTGAGTTGTTTTTTGAATTGATCATGAATTGATCAATGTTAGCCTACCATTGGAAACCTGGAAGCACTGAATGACGGCCATTTTGTCCTGGTATGGGACTCATCAGCAGTGCGCATTCACGAGTCCTTCTACCTGAAAGATTCGAACCAAGGACCTTTGGTTTCAAACTCTGGAGCATTGATCCGGCATCTAACGGCACATCTAATGTCTAACTTCGGTTAATTCACAGTCTTGCGCAACGTCATACACTGTTTTCAGTGAGTACTGTTTCACAGCACGCAACTCTAATTTATCGGCTTCGGTTTCGTTGAGCAGATATTATTATCACTAGTCTTCACACAAACCAAACAATGTAAACGAGTACAAAAACCTGTACGCGGGATTCATCTGTTCAGTTATAAACTAAGCAAATTAAGTCAGGTGATTTTCAACCATGTAGTTACACACTCATTGATTGTCCCGTCGATATGTTGTCATTCTTTCTTCGAGACTATTTCAAACACCACTCTTGTGATTATCTTCATTTTAAACATTGAACAATGAACATGAATAGAGCAAAATTAATGACTTTGTTTAAAATATCAACTAGATTAGTTGAATTAAAAAATAATAATAGCAAAAGAAATAAACAACAGCAGAAGAGATCAGTGTTTTTTCTCAAATCAAATTAAATATAACACCAAACAACAAAACAAAACTCTACACACTCAGCATTATTGATGCTTTAAAATTCTAAAAATTCTATCAATAAACATACATTATAAAAAATTAAAATAAGCGCTGATAGACACACACACACACACAACAGCGTAGAGTAATAATAATCTAATTTAGAGAAAGCATAATAGAGTTAAGAAATTAGTTTTAAAAAATTTAAGGCAAAATCATTTAATATTATAAATAAATAATATTTATAATAATAATAATAATAATAATAAGCAGAAATGATGACAGCATAACAATAATGATAATAATAATCGAGAGTCATTAAAATACTACTGGCAGAAACCTGCATTTTATGTTCTAATTTCAATAGGCGATCATAACCAGTTGTTCTCAGTGTACGAGTTCTACATTTTCTCGATGTACTTCGACAGCAACAACCAGAATGACAAGAATCGCTTACACGATGCCACCATTTTTTGGTAGACTCACCACCGGGACGAGATGATGATTGTGATGATGGTGAATTGATTTTTGAATAGCCTGACATTCGGTTAGAATTAGATAACGACGTGGTTGGCATTGGATGTTCCATTGTGATTGTTTCATCTGCAGCACCATGATTCATTAGATCGTCGTAGTTATTATTATGATCATTGGATATTGACATATATGATTGTAATAATTGATTTGGTGAAGAGAGTAAGTGTTCACTTTCATCGACTACTTCATCAGAACCGAATGAATGAAAACTTTCATTCCGTGGTATCTATTTATTGTGTGTGTGTATGTGTGTGCGTGTGTGTGTAGAGAGATGAACACAAAGTGTAATGTAATACAAATAGGATATAGAATAAAAGAAGAAGTCAAGAGAGAGAGAGAGAGAAAAAGTATTCAATAAACAAATAATTAGATAATCAAAAAAAACATTGAACATTTAATGAGCAAGTTTTAATTACACAATTTTAAGATGGTGGGTGGTGATAAAGAAGGTTTTTTTTAACTAGGACAGAGAGAGAGAGGATGATTATTGATGCAACTGAATTCGCCGAGTTCAGTGTTCAATAAGCTGAAAACAAATAACTCAGTACAACTAATCGTAATAGTAAATTGTATCATTAAACAAAGAATGATGTTTTCGTGATGTCATTATCTGTAATTGTACAAATCATATTTACTGGCAATTTTACAAAATTACCATGGTTAGTCAAACTTAGTCAAGTGGAAGGACAATGGAAATGAAGTAGTGTTGCGTAATGTAATCACAAAATTTCAAGTATTGAATTAAAAGAGTTATTTAAGTGATACATTTCGAACAATCTGGTCACACTTATACTTGTTAAGATGTCGTTATATATGTATGAAAAATATAAAAGGGCCAAACTAAGGAGTTTCCATTTTCATGTAGTTTGATTGACCCTAGTATATACATTCTTGAATACTTTTGTGTAACAACCACAAAAGCCGATTCGATATCAACTTTGTAACCTATCTCAACCAAATATTTTGCAATGAATGATTTGTTCATGTGTTCAGCTACCCTTACTTATAACTCACAATTGCCTCCTATCAAATTTTTTGTGTTCGCACATATGTGTAAATCGGTAGATGCAATGTACTGCGGTGCAGCAGTCATTTACATGCTGTTTGAGTTTTCGGTATAACATCGACCTTGACTTTTCGATGATAATAAGTTCGGCTGCACTAAGTTGAGTCTTCATTTCAGCATAAGACTAGTTGAACCACCTCTGAATGGTAGGGTAACATAGACACGTTTTATTGGGGTGTCGACCAGACTATTCAAAATGTATTGCGCAAATATATTACATAATTTCGATAACCTTCATCTTTTCATCTGATTATTTGAATTAATTAAAGGGGATTCATAATTTTGCATTATCGCATAATGGAGATTGTTGTTTTACATTGAAATCATGCTGATGAGTCACACACCGGGACGAAACGGCCGTCCAGTGTTTCCAGGTTTCTAATGGTGGTCTAACAATGACGCATTCATGATTTCAGGGATTATTAATTGTTTGAAATAGAAAGAGAGTTGCGTCATTGAATAAACTAATCAAAAATCATCGAAAACTTGAAGAAACACATGAATAATTTTTTTGAAAGTAGAAACTATTATAGTATAAATAAGTAAAGCTGAAGAGTTTGAGAACGAAAATAGCACTTACGATTCGTAGAATCCAAAGAGGTGCAAAGATAGATGATGGAAGAATAAAAGATTAGAGTTAGGATTTAACACAGGGAATAGCCTGAACCATTCACAAAATTCCCATCCAAACTATTATTTTGTCGTTTAAAAGCCATTTGTGTTTATTGATTTCGGGACATTTACCTGTCTGACTGTAGATTATTACATGTGAACAATCATCGACAGTACCGAAAAAGCCTATATTCTTGAAACTACAGTTCAAAGGTGACATAGTCAGTGAATTAGTAACTCGGTGTATACAGAAAGCCTTAGAACATGAGATCAATGCAGCAAGATTATATTCTACGTTCTTTGGTAAATGATTTAGTTCCTCTGCCTCTATGTTTTACAATCGGTGTACAACTAGACAAATGCATCATGGTATTTCGGAACATCACTCTTTATGGATGACTGAAGAGCAAAAGAAAGCAATAAGAAGCTTTATCTCGTTGCATCTAGTTGACACCGGTCATCAGTGTTGAAGGTTATTTACAAAATACCCCTCCCCCGAATCAACCTTTTGGTTCAAGAATCCGACTTTCACAAATAGCAGAAGCCATAGGATTACATATCAATAAAAACCGAATCTTTGTATATATATATATATATATATATAGGAAAAGTTTGCATATCCTCTAACCCTACCCTGAGCCTTCTACATAGTGTGCATCAAATCTTAATTCCTATTCTTACTTTTAACTAACTGATTAGGTAATTTCATTTTATTTTTAATTTAAATCTTCCAAACGTTACGTAACTCTATCGATTATTATTGTTCAATTGCTTCAACACCATATAATTGAAGAACTTATAGTGAAGAATTAACAGAAAAGAAATATTTTCTTTTCTAGAATAATGATTTCGTCGAAAAGAAAATCTTTTTCATTGAAACATTTACATTTTGTGAATAAATTGCAGAGAAATCCTAATGATTTATTTCTTTCTCAAAATATATACTACTAATGATGACGATGTTAGTAATAATGTTGTTTAGAAAGATAATGATTGTTTTTAGCTGAGAAAATAAACTTTCACTAAGTTAATTTTCATGGCATGTTCATCCACTACAGACTGTACTTGATGAGATATGCTTTACTCCATAGTTTAAATGTTTAGCGAGGAAAATTTCCTCTGATTAATTTATAGATCTCATCGTGAATGAGATTGGAAACATCAGAACTTGCAAAAACGATACTACAAATGTGTGAAAACTGAAAAAAAGTAGATAAAATAAAAATATCCCGAAAACAATAATCACAGTATGAGTTTATTACTGTGATCGTAAACCCGTGATCAATGGTTGAGTACAGGGGGGTTAGTAACCTCATCTCACATAAAACAACTGTTATACAAACCCAATAACCGGAAAATTTCTGAGTTCATGATTATTATTGCCATTATTATTATTAGTATTAAGTACTTATGATATAATAATTAAAGTACAACTTTGTGTACACTAATTAAACCAAAGTCCATGACACACACAATCAATAAAACTGTGACGCAACAATCGATTAGTTAAAGCTACAATGAATGAATGAGTGAGTGAGAATTAGTTAATGATGAACATAATAAAACACCTTAGAATACAATTGACCAATTCATTTTCAAGTGGAAATCAATTGAATATAACAACTGTGTGTTAGATTTCACAAACTAACAAATTATGAACAGATAGACTTTTTTAGAGAAAAAAAATTCTAAACAAAAATAGTTTAAATGAATATTTTTTCTTATTGATGAACCTTGAAAACTTGAAAGTTTCATTGTATCGATTTTTTTTAAACATCATTCTAGACACAAATGAATGCTGATGATGCTGTTTGTTGTAAAAGCTACATGATTGGCTGGCTTAGAAAACTCAACAACACATAAAAGTTTCTCTTAAACATTTTTTTCCAGATAGCCTCTCTCTTGGATGAAAATATCAATTTTTTTCAATAAATCATTACCTTCAAATATCAAACAAAACTAACTGTTCAGTATTGAAAAAAATTTTCTTTCTCTTATCATGTTAATACTAACTGTGATTGCAAAAATGTAATTTTATGCACACAGAGTTAGAGAAGATCAACTCCTTTTTGAGATATATATCGGCTTTCACATGATTATCGAAATAACTACTGAAATGCTTATTATCAATATGTTCTGCAATAGCGTGATAACGCTATAAGCGCTTACAAGGTGAAGTTACTGTATTTACAGTTACAGAATGACGATCTACAAAACTGCCTACTGTAAAGTTATAATGGGAATCCCTCAATAATCAAAAATACACATTGTTCGCATATTTCAGAAACTAATCATTTGCTGTTTCCCAGAGTATAAAAGCTAGTGATAGAGTATGAAGAAGGTACTGAGCAAGAGGTAATGTTTATTTAGCAAAATTACAAAATGTTTATGCTATATGCACATTTGGTCTAGTTAAGTTGTACATTTGTATTTTATTGTGTGTTCTGTAATTCATATCGGTTTCCAAACGGTCTTTTCTCAATTCTTTTCTGGTTTCCAAAGTATTCCGCAACACACCGAGCTTGAGAACTCGTGAAAATTTTGTGTAAGGTTGTCGACTGTAACAATCTCCACACAACGTTCCGCTACATACTACTTATGAGTATTATTCACTATAATATTACTAATACTATAAATTGACCCAAATCAAAATAAAATAGAGAGAAAGTTGTGAGTTGACCATAGCACAGTTGCGTATGGTATCTACTGCTTGTCTATCGTTATTTTACATCGGATTTTGTTATTCTTCATAAGGAAAGATATTAACAGTAATAATAATTTATCTTGTCGTGTAAATAGACGTTTGGTGAAATGTATCCATTCCAAACTATCATTGAGATAATGAACTGATCAATGCTAGCCAACCATTGAATGACCGTCTTGTCCTAGTGTAGTGAATGAGAACACAGGTGGGGCAACCGAATTGTATTTAACGAAATTTACAGAGTTACTCAGTAAAATCGGAAAACCATATCGTAAATCGTTCATTTGCAAAATATCAGTCCATCAGTTCATCGAACTGGACTGTTCCTGTTGCAAAACATCAATCCATTGTCACTATTCATGCGTTTCATACAAATTCCATTGTATTCTTCTAACTCTTCCTCCTTTCTTGATCTTCCCCATCTTCTGCTGCCAGACATTACGTTGACACTCACGTCATATACTACTTATAAGTAGCTCACACCACACTCGTCTCCCCTTTTAATAAGCTGTCGTCGCAGTCTTTCAAAACAGGGACCCTGGTCATTGAATATCACCTTCCGTACTAGTACGGAACTCATCAATAGTGTGCATCCATGACCAAACAAGCAAGAATCGAACCCTTCGGTCTCGCTTAATCAATCACAAAAATTCCTTCACGTAACACATATACATCAACAACAGAAATATATTTTTTAAAAAAACTTCTTCAGGCCTTATGTTTATTCATGGTATAAATTAACAATAACTGAGAGAAAAAACACTGCATATATATATATATATATATATATATGTAAAATGATATTGATTGATGAGGACTTACTTTACGTTTACCAAAAAATGATTTCGATAAAGATGAATAAAGTAATGCACCAGTATATGCAGCTGGATGACTGGTTTCAATATCATCAACAGACTGGTAGATGAAATGAAGAAGAAGAAGGAAAAAAAAATCAAACAGTAGAAATAAAGATGATGTCCAAAAGAATAATACAAAAAATATGAAATATTAGAAAAGAATCGAGAATTATTGAGATGTAATGAGAAATCATCATACAAATAGGATCGATAATAATGACAGGAAAGTAGAATTATGTTTTGGACAAGTTTTGATAATTCTCAGTCTAGAGAAAAACACGAAACACTGTTTACTAACACAGTACTTTTCACAATTTTATTCGGATCTGGTTGAAAATGTCTTTTAGTTTTTTTGACCAGGACCAGGACCCGGTCCCGGATCCCTGGTCCGGGATCCTGATTTTCTTTAGGACTCGGACCTCGTACTTTCTGGATGCTTGTAGAATACAGGTTAAACTTCAAATTCAAGTCTTCTTATTTTTACTCAATATGGGGGTTGGGATAATCGGATTTGAGTAGCATGTCGTGTCACCGGATCCTCGCTCTCGTTTTCCGACTAAGTAAACTCGTAATAGTTCAAGCATATCAAGTTGACTTGCTTATGTGCAGGTGTAACAGAAACCCGTACCCAAAATGTGAATGACTGACTACTACTCACGATTTCACATTTTTTTAAACCGAATGTGCCAAAATGTTCAAACATTCTATTGAATTTCATATTTTTTTTCGTATAAATGCAGATTAATTTGTTTTTATATCACAAATATATTTTCTATATTTTCTCTATTTGGTAACATGGCCGTTAAGAGTAGAGGACTTTCGTAGAATATTATTATTCCATCATCGGTGTCTCCAAAGCATTGCTCGTGCATCCTGGGACAACCGAGTGAGCGATGCTGTCGTTAGGAAACGAGTTCTAGGTAGGGATAGCAAATCAATAGATGAAGTGGTGAAACTTCGTCAGTTGAAGTGGTTGGGACATGCGTTACGTATGGCTAACCACCGACTGCCTAGACGAGCTATGTTTTACAATGTAGGAGTAGGTTGGAAGAAAGCTGGGGGCGGCCAGACCAAAACATGACAGAAATCCATGAAGTCACTGACAAGTGGACTGAATCATGTCGGTAGATGTAGACTATCTGGTTGAGGTCCGCGAGACAAAAGTCGCCAATGGTTAGACTTTGTCCGACATGGCTCAGAGTCGTTTGCGATGGCGCAGATGCATCCACTCTTTGAGTACTATGAATTCTAACCTTCTGAATTCCTCATAATCTCTACCTTTTTCCTTCTAAATTTATCTCACGGAATTACACTTCTCGAATCATATCTTTGCTCCCTAATCTTCTCCATTATCGCTAATAATTCTACTATTGCTATCACTCTTGGATTTGAACTGACCGTTTCGTCTCTGTTCTGATGTGGTATGGCAACTTGAACTGATGTACTTACGTACGAAGTTCTAGGTTGTATCTGTCTTGTAGTTTAATTGGCTACTGTTATATTCATTACAATTAATATTCCGACGCCACTTTCTTCTGCACTGTCGACAATTCTATCTAACTGATGATGTGGTTGTAAGAGCTTCATTCATTGTTTATTTGTGTCCGGTCCAATCGATCAGTATAATATATTTTCTCAATTTTGTATACAACTAACATTCCAGCTTTACTTTAATTATGCACAACTGATAATTCTATCTAATTTAATGCTGTGGTTATAAAAGCCTAATTCAATTGTATATTTTTCATTTCAAGGTTCGATCGATCAGTGATAATCAAAACAGAGGTTAAGTAAGTTGGTCTTAAGAAAAACTACAAAGTTATGACCTTTGTTTAAAATCTCTCATATGGATGGATACATAATGGTTGAAATGCAGTTTGTATTGTTGTTTTTTAAAAAAAATACTTTATTATCAAACGTCTACTTCATCATGGATTACGAGGGAAAGAGAAATTCTTATCGGCTATCACCATATAAAAAAGCATAAAATTCCTGTGACATATATTGACATAGAGAAATTTCTTGCAAGGTGTTGTTGGGACGGTTAGATCCCGAGAACTTACAAGGGAAAAGGTCCTAATTTTGTAATTTAATTCTGAAAATTTGAATTTCTATATTTTCGTGCCAAGAGACGCATAGTTGACCTTCAGCTTATATTTCCCACTCGGAAAATCCTTGACTGTCACTGGTTGATGAATTATTTTAGTACGCTTTTTTGAGGGCTCTCACTAAGGGCTTCTCTATCATTGTATAAATAAGCTTGATTTGTGTGCTTAGACACCTTGTATTTTCTGGTTGCTTGTAGGATACTGTTAAGATATTCATCCAATATCCTAAGAGAATTATTGGTCCATTCCTATGGGTTAATTCCTACTGGTCAATTTTATGGTCATCCTAGATATCAATGTCCCGTGCTCCAATGTTGTTTCTTATTGGTAGTCCTATCAACGTCACTTCAAATGTTGCTTCCTATTGGTCGTCTTAACTGTCAATGTCACAGACTTCGATGCTGTTTCCTATTCGACCAAAATGTATAAATACGGATTATTTGTAACGTTTTATGACCATGAACCCGGATCCCTAGTCAGGGATCCTGATTCTCTTCTGGATTCGGGCCTCGTATATCAAGTTGAAGTGTTTACGTGCAGGCGTAACAGATACATTCTCTACGCCTTATCAATAATTCTTCGTCTCGTTAATGCGGCCTGGGATAATCGGGCTAGAGTAGCCTATCGTGTCACTGCTGAATCATTGATGTTCGTTCCATTTATCGAGTAAAGTGACCTCGTAATATAGCATTCAAGCATGACAATTGACGAGTAAACAAACGAATAAATACATACAAATTGAATATTGACAACAACAACAACAACAACAATAAAACAAGCTTACTTTATAAGTTAAATCTTTGCCAGTTTTATTGATCATCCAATATGGTGCATACAATGTTAAACATAATTGTCCTAAATTTGTAGTACGACGTAATCCTAAAGGCTTTGGCCAGGGAAAAAAATGAAACATACAATAATAATAATAATAATAATAATAATAATAATAATAATAATAATAATAATAATAATACAAATTTGTATAGTTTACATCAATCCAATTGAATTCAAATAGTAAATGAAATCATTCAGAAAAAAAACTATTTCCATTATGGAACATATGTATACATCTTTGCTATTAGCTATGAAAACTATTGTAATATTTATAACAACAATTAATTGTTATAAATAATACTTCTACTATCGCCACCATTGACAGTTGCATCTCTGTGGTGAGACGGTATGGCAACCTGAACTAATGTACTTGCTCATGTACGAAGTTCTATGTTGTAACTGACTGACTGACTGACTGATTGATTGATTGACTGTTATAAATAAGACGAATTTCAAAAAAGTAAAGTTGGCAAGAATGATCAAATTCATAATAGGCGCAAATGCAGGCGGGATAGGTTTGCGAGTACACTTTTTTTCAAAATAATTAAATACAGTGGATGGGTAATGTAAACATGTTGTAGTGTGTACCTTGTAATATCACCCCACAAGGCTTGTCCCATACATTGTACAAATTAGCTAATTCATCCGTCTCGAGTTATTCACAACACGTCTTTTGACCTTGTCAATCGTTCGCTTATAACTTGATTGCTTTCAATTCAGTGATCGTATGCATTGCTTACTTAGCTTATAACATGTCTAATTTATTTTTGTCTGACTAAAATTACTTATTCGTGCTTCATCACATTGAGTTGACCCACAGGCCTCGGCTTTAACGCTCCGAACCCTCCTACTATCAGTCTGCTTACGCGAATGTAAGAAACCAATTCATCCCCGTAAAACCTTATTGTGCTCGTCGAGCTATGTTTTGCGACGTAGGAATACGCTGGAAGAAAGCTAGGAACGACCAAACATGGCACAAAACCATGAAGTCGCTGACAAGTGGACTAAGTCGTGTTGGTAGGTGTCGACTGTCTAGTTGAGGCCCGCGAGAGGATAGTGATCGATGGTTAGAGACCTTGAACGACAGGGCTCAAAATCCGTTTACAATGGCGCAGGTGCATTCATTCTTTGTGTTCTCTCAAATTCTAAACTTCTGAATTCCTCATCACCTTTATCCTTTTCCTTTTAAGTTTATCTCACTGAATTATACTTCTCGAATCATATCTTCGAACCCTAATCTTCTCCATTACTGCTTATACTTCTACTATCTTCACAACTATGGGATTTAAACTGATGATTGCGTCTCTGGAAGCATTGGACAGCCTTTTCGTCCTGGCATGAGACTTATCAGCGGTGCGCATCCACGACACCCGCTTTTCGCAGCAATCGAACCCAGGACCCCCAGTCCAGCGCGCGAACGCTCAACCTCTGGACCACTAAGCCGATATCCAACTAATGATGAGTAGTTCCCTATTAGGATCAAAAAGCCTTCCTATGCTTCCAGATTTCTAATGATGGTCTAACAATGATCGATTCATGTTTTCACAGAGTAGTAACTCAACAATCTTCACAACCCTTTCATGCAAATTTACACTATCAGCCTTCCAAAAATTATCAACAAACAAATAGCTGAAAATTACTACTAATAATAATAATAACTTAACCTTCAAAAATGCATAGAAACACACAAACTTACCAAATTACAAGATTCATATTCTTTACGCGAATCAAATTCAATCACACTATACTCATCCATTTGTAAATGTAGTTCCAATTTGCCTCGATACACATTACCATTGTATTCGAACTTGAAATGATAATGGAAAAAGGCAATTGATTGACATAATCAATTATGAATGTACACTGCTAAAGTATATATATATATAGCTATCATCTATCAAGATGAAATGTAAGTGAGCAATGATACAGAAAGTGGTTAGATTAAAATAATGGTATCAGTTGATGGGATACTTAACTGTTAAACTGATGGGGACGTTAGATCCCCAGAACTCGCTTGATTAAATGTCTTAATTTTGGATTTTATTCATGGGCTGATCAGTTGACCTTGAGATCACATTTCCCACCAGGAAAATCCTTGGCTATGATTGGTTGATGTGTTATTTTAGTATGCTATTTTCGTGACTCTCCCAAGGACGTTTCTATGATGTATAAATAAACGCGAATTGTGTGCTTATCAACCTTATATTTTCTGGGTGCATGTAGAATACACTTTCTACGTCTTATCAAGACTTCTTCCTCTACTTAGTGGGGCGTTGGAACGCTCGTATCAGTGGATCATTTATGTTCGCTCTCGTTTACCAACTAAGGTGAACTTGTAATCGCATTCAAACCTATCAACTGGTGATGTCTATAACAACGAAAAGTACAAGATTTGTGAATATATACTTTTTTAAGATTGAGGAATTGGAGCAAAATAGTTACGTAATAATAATAATAATATTAATAATAATGTTTTTTCATACTTACTGAAATTTCAATAAATGCCTTATTTGGTGGTATAGATTTCAATGCATAATGACTACCGGCAGAGATTTCATTGGTAATATTCTAAAAACGAAGTAACAATACAATACAAATTTCAAACATTTCGATATGTACAGATGTAACAAACATTTGAATAATATAAAAGGCAATGCCGAGAAACAAGAAATGCTCTACTCTAATAAAAAGGGTTTCATCATACAGAATAATTATTCATTAATCGAAATAATAAACATCTCATAAAAGGGTTTTGTGAAATACAGTAACGCATCAACGGATGAATAGATGCAGATGAAGAATTATTGATTTTGAATACCAGTTACTGAATAATTGCTGTCTGTAGGTTTATTCAGTATATACTTACTAGAATATATATGTATTTAGACAACAAGGCCTTTGCTTAGCAGCTGGGAAATGATGGAGGTGGTATACGATAGATCACCCGTAAAGATCTGGATTTATCTACAATATGACCACTATCAACCAGGTGTGCTAAGATAGAAGTGCGTATTGTTTTTGTCTGACCCTTCTTAAACCATGCTGGGAGATGTTCACTCATTCGTTGGTTAAGTTGCCTGGTAGTACGCCCAATGGAGTTCGAACCCGTCTCCTACACATAGCAGAAGCCATGTGAATTCGTACATTCAACCCCAATTTGTGTTTAAAAGAAATCCGTGACACCCCTATCTCTTCCGTAGCCGGATATGATGTAACTAATAACTTCAGATTTAATCTTTTTTTTTGGTTTAAATTTTATTTTGTTATTATTAGCATTATTTTCGCATCCTGTATTTGTTAGTTTATATTCTTCACTATCTAATTATGTACAACAC